CGTTGAGAAATATTTTCAGTCCTTGCGCGGTGCGTCCACTACACTACCCCCCGCACACAGCTGACCTCATTGAAAGCCCCGCCCCAGGAAGCCACCCCTTTTTCACCGCGAACATGATTCACGCTTATACTAAGTTGGCTGTTAATACTGTGGCGTGTGAGGGAGGCTAGGAACGGGGCAGAGCCAACTCATTCGACGCCATTGCGGAAACTGACAGACGACCAAGACCCGTGGGAAGCGGGCTGGCGCCGCGCCAAACCCAGCCACTCAGACACGCCCCAACATCCGCAGCGAACAAGGCCGTACCTTCATGCTGCACACACGGGATAGTTTAATCTTTCTGCTACAGCGTTGTATTCGTCACGTTCTGCTTCCTGCACACGAATCCTATCGATGCAGTACCCAACTGTGAATTGACGTAATTCTTCTTATCTCACCAAACCCATAAATTTTATTTTGAGAATGTGATAGCGAAAGGGTTTCAATAGGCTTGAAGGCAATTCTCGCGATCAAATCTGCTCAGTCATGAACCAGTAGCCCATCAAAAACTCATGAGAAGAGAAAGAAGCGAAAAAAAGTTCGGGAACACCCTGAGCACAGACCCCCCTAGCAGTGGGGCCGGCGCCTTGGACGAGTTCATCATGAGGACAAGCCCAATCAGCAGGATTCTAGGTGCAACCAATTCCCGGCAAGAGCATAGGAAATCGCCCTACGACGCTCCAGGCAACGCTATGTACACACGCAATTCCGCTTGTAAGCCGTTGTCTTGCAGAGTACAGTACGCGGTTGCACCGGTTGCAAAACTCACGCGTCTCTAGCTTCGTTATCTCGCCATTTCGAGTGACGAAAGTGGTATATTCTCTGCGAGTGCGGACAACGATGCCAAATGCACGGAGGCATTTCGCCGATCACTTGATCGCGGGAGTGTCTTTAACTGTGTAGAAGCAGAGCCTCAAATTACAAACGCAGCTCTCAGCCACGGCTCGAAATCTCTACCTGACGGCTGGAATCGAGCTGCTAGCCGTTATGTGAGCGTGTAATCAGAATTTGAAATCGTAGTACTCGTTTGTTATTCAAAGTAAATCAACGGGATAGAGGTGTGTATGAATGCATGAGCGGTTGCTAACATACTCATTCTGCAAACATTACTCGCTAGTAATTCACGCTGGTTTACCCTTCACACGTCCTAACGTCTGATCATTAATGCCATAAAACCCTGTTGGGTACCTTTTGCACCTTCTAAACGCAGTTTCGTAACGTTAGCCAAAACATCAGAAGATACTCAAAGGACCCGAAACTGGTGAGTGGTAAACACATCCCGTGTCCCTTGTATTCAAAAAGATGAGGCGCAAAAAACAGGAGGAAAAGGATGGTGCCACCACAAACTATTCCCTTTTATCCCTAGACCGCCTCTACCTTGACAGTCACTTTGATTTGAACTTTGGATTCTGCTGCATTTCTTAGACCTATTTTCCAGCATCAATTCTCCTTGCATGGATCTCTTGACGTCACTTAATACCATTCGTAGAAAGGGAGCTTTCTAGTTAGCCCAACCAAATTCAATGATATGGCATTAGATTACCAACGACCGTGAGCGAAATTCATGCTCACGGACCGAGGTCATCTCACCCCTCTCCAATTAATACTTTGCCAGACAACATGGAATTCTTTACGTTTCCTGACCTTAAGGTACATTTCTAATCGCTTGCACAAAATCAAGTGCTGATTCAGACCGGCAGTGCCAGGCAGAAAGAAGGCTCGATCTCAGATAGCGATTCCCGTGGCACTCGTTCACCTATTGAGGTTAAAGAGAAAGAGAAGGAAAAAGTCCCCTCCATAAGCTCATCAAGAAGGAATTGAGCAACGATGCCTGAATCATTCAAAATACGACTCGCGCTATCAATAGTGTTGTATGCAAATCTCTGCCATTATACAAGACAGCAAACGGTCCGGAATAATTAAAGGTCTTAGAATTTCTGAGATCGTCAGTGAATGCAGAACGAACGCGAAAGGGTTGAGTTAGTGTCTCGAAAAAGCCTCATTCAGGCGCTGACCAAGTACCGAGAATGCTATTGCCTCGTCATTGTAATACAAACTTAATATCTCTAATAGATTGTCTCTACACACTCGCTTATCTCTCTGCTCTTTTTATAATTATCTTTTGTCCCTCACACGCACATGCAGTGTCTCTCTTTTTCGAACATCTCAGTCCGGATGCTGGAGATCATTCGAGGCCGTACTCTGGGAACTAGTCATTCGATTTTACCATGCCTTTTTACAGTGCGTTCTTGTTGATTCCAAGTCAGTTTGCATCTATAAATCCTACTTAAACCCCCAAAAGCCAATGTAACGAGAGCCTATTGACTTTTTGAGCACTCGAACTCTACCCCTCTACTGTAACCATCACTGAAGTTGGGGTTTAGACGTTATTCGTAGTCCCTACTTTATGAAGCCCGACTTGTATTCACATAATGCCGCACGAAACACAGAAATCCTCCGTTTATCAACCGCTCGTTAATGCTGACCTTTTCGTTCTTGGTATGAATACCGAACAGGAAAGACCTCAGTTTGCGAGCGAAAAAAGCACACTTGGTTGATTGCATAGATTGAATTTCAACGGACATTCACCATTCTGTTTTCCCCTAAGTGGTCTTATTTTGCGGAGTTTCAGCAATGGGCACCAGTGACAATGTATCTGATATCCACAAGAGAAATGGCTTGGCAGAGGTTCTCATTCGATGTTTTTTTTTCCCGTTTCAGGCACCCTAAATACCCCCTTCCTCCGTATGGTAGTCGTCTGATGTCCTCCTCCGTACCACCTAACTCCAGGACTTTCCGGAGTCGGGGGTCGCATCTGATCCTGGGTCCAGCATATCGAGATTATGCACTGTGCTCCCCATAGCTATCCTTAATCCATCATTTCAATCCATCCGTGGGCTAAAACTATCAGACATCACGGATATGAAAGGGCTCCGACGGAAAGAGAAGGGCCGGAGTTTTATTGAGCTTTTCATCAGTGCCATAGGAGCTTGTATTAATTAACGTTTTTTTTCGCCATAATCCCACATCGGAAGACAGTAGGGTGGTTTGTTCTTTGGTAAAAAGCTTACCTTAAAGGCACTTTCAGGGATAAAATAAGGCTATGACCTCTCAAAGGTGTCGATCCGGAAGGCGATCTAGAACCATCCATACCAGCCTTGTCATTCTGTGAGGCTTGCCGCTATTTTCAAAAAGTGGAAATCGGCAAGAAATCCGCTTAAAGCTGACAAATTAGGGCCATGGACACCCCTCAGGCCCATGCCGACGGCTGCTAGCTACTAGCTTATGTAGTAGCCACTACGCTATCTCTCTCCATAACATTTCGGACTGCTTTTTCTGCTGCTTTTCTCCGCTAATCAGATACTTAGCACTTTTCCGTTCGTATTTGAGTTCCGTTTCCCGCAATCTGCGATCGCGAGCTGTGCCTTTAAACTTGCTGCGCGTGCTACAAGAACAGATAAGAAGCGGATTTCATGTTTTGCATGTCAACTTTTTGCCAGGGTTCATCATAAGATAAGAACGCCACAAGAAACAGCTACGGACAGCCTTTTTTGTAGCTCCGATTTAGTAACACAGTTCTCTGATTGGAGACGCAAGCCTTGAATCTGTTAATGAATAGACACTCCCGCCCATCATCGGTTTAAAATTTCACAAATTACCGCATTCATCCTCAATACGTAGTTCTCTCCTTCTGCCTTGAATAAGATGTTCTGACGAGTGAATAAGCGGGTGAGAAACGGAAAGCTACTAGAAAAGATCGTTCAGTTCCAGAGAGGGTGCGATCCTCGTTAATCATTCTAGAACTTCGATTTCATTCGGAATAAAAATTATAAAAATTGTTAAACGTCCATAAAAAGCTGATCTCATGGGTAAAGTCACTTGCTCCACTGCGCTCTCCTCACGGGTGAGGTCTTCCTCTTTCCCAACATAAAGGTAGGTTGCCACTCATCGCATGTGTGGAGGAGACAGTTACCCAGGTACTCCGCCTACTGCCACAGGTTGCCTCTAGGTCAAAGTATCGCAGAAGGGTTTATACGTAAATGAATTTCTTTCGGCCAGAAAGTTTCATCGTTGATGCAGATGTGCTTTTCAAAAAGAACTCATTTTAAGAATTTAGAGAACTCTCACTTCGACTACTTTTCCTGCAGGGCTCGTCGCACCTTGAGAGGTTTCCCCCTGGAAAAGTTCGTTGGAGAGAGGGAGAAGGGTCATGTATGCTTCCTACTTTTTTATCTGTTTTTTTTCAAATGTTTCAATTGTACTTTGCCTCTCCTCCTCCCCTCCCTTCCCATCCGACGGAATTTTTGTAGGGAGATGTTGCGGAAAAGAGGACGGTAATTGGGAGAGTTCAGAATTGGTATGCAGGTAGGGTGGTGGACAGGATAGGGGAGGGGGATCGCTCGAAAGGAGGGGATTCTGAGGTGATAGTCGCATTTTGCAAAGATCCTGCTCAACGGCAGG